ACAACGTATGTTAGAGATGTATGCTTAAGCGAGACTTACCCATGAGACAACGTATTTTATAGATTTATGCTAAGCGAGACTTAACCATGGGAGAACGTATTTTAGAGATGTATGCTACGCGAGACTTAACCATGAGACAACGTATGTTAGAGATGTATGCTTAAGCGAGACTTAACCTTGAGACAACGTATTTTATAGATGTATGCTAAGTGAGACTTAACCACGAGACAACGTATTTTAGAGATGTTTGCTAAGCGAGACTTAACCATGATACAACGTATTTTAGAGATGTATGTTAAGCGAGACTTAACCATGAGACAACGTATTTTAGAGATGTATGCTTAAGCGAGACTTAACCATGAGATAACGTATTTTAGAGATGTATGCTAAGCGAGACTTAACCATGAGACAACGTATTTTAGAGATGTATATTAGGGGAGGCTTACCCCAAGCAGTACCCCTTTTAAAGCTAGATATAGTGCAAATCTATACAACGATATTTAGTGATTTTTTTCTTTTGCGTTTGTATTTTGTTATTGACTGAAATTTTCTGTATGCCTTTTCCTCGTGTCAATTGCACGGTTGCTGATTTTTGTTTTCTGCTTTTTTCTTTGCATACATCCAATCTGACGCGGATAATGGATAATTTCACAACGGCTGTCAAGAGACAAACGAAATAATACTTGTAGTACATTCTATCATGTCAGTGCCCGCTTCTAGTTAAAGTTCTTTGCGGAGTCTTTCGACTCCTCGCTTACAGAGTTTCAAACAAAACAGGTAATGCATCAGTGGACAACACAATTACAGACAATACGTTATGGCTACAGAGAGAAACTACTTACAATAATTTGATCATTCTTACAGAATCATATTTCATTTCAGAATATTTTATTGTACAAATCACAAGAACAAACGGAATTTGGCAACGAACATATGGCCTATACAAGCCCTCTCACAGAATTGGATTTGATATATTTTGCTAAGTACTACGTAGGTTGCCCCCGACGTTGGGAATCGAACTCGTGCTTACCAGTACACAGCCAGGATGAACCGGTCTAGATATCACTGTTGATAAGTCACATATGAGAATTGCCTCAATGTCACAAGTCACAAATGATTTCTGGAGCATTCCTCAGAAACTACTGGCCGGATACTTATAACACTTGACATGCTATTTGGTAGGCATGTGTATATATGTACGTAATGCGTTTAATTTTCCGATCGGTCATCAAATATGACATTCTCGATACTCAGGGGTTACGCTCACTTTCGCTCTCTGCACCCTGGAATTAGTCATAGCAAAATTAAAGGCACTTTTCGGACAACACACAATAACTATATCCATTTGGATGCCGTTCAAGCGTTCAAGTAACTGCATATTTGCTTTCATAGCAGCTACGCGCCTGGCTTATCCACCAACATGGAGGATTATATCATATTCAGTATACTGTAGTTCTGAATGAGGCATATCTACGCAGACTATATATTAACGAATAAACAATTAACACTGCATTTGGAGGTAGTACTCCTCAGCTCTCTGTAAGAGACATTTCTGAATGGCTGAACATGTTGTCGGTCAACGACGATTTTAAATACACTTCTATGTTTTTTGTTTTCAACGGATTTTCTTTCATGCGAAAAGTGTTTGGGTCATTTAAAAAAAAAAAAAAAAAATGCGCAAGATAATCTTCTTTTGATATTATTATGTATAAGATCTACATTGTAGTATAAAAGCCCCAGGTTACTTTTTGCGATCTATTTTCTCTCTCTGTTGTCCTGCGTCGTTCGTCGTTCACTAGCATTTAACATTTTCAACTAAACTGAAATATTACTGAATGTTACAGACATCATACTGAGAAAATCCTGCTATAGTTTGGGTCTATCAGAAAACCAATATGGCCGCCACATCCGCCATTTTTAAACAAACAAAATCTATTTCAAACTAAATCTAAAATTCTACGGCCTGGTTTTACTGAAACGTGGTACGGATGATCTACTGGTGGTTCTGACGAAGAAGTGTTATTTATCACGTCGATCGGAAATCCAATATGGCCGTCACGGCCGCCATTTTAAAAAGGTTTTAAAATGCATATATACCAAGCTCAAACTCAAGTTTTAAAGCCAGCCGATATAACTGAAATAGTTAGTAGGAATTATCTACCGACGGTTCTGACACAGTGCTGCTATTTTGCAGAACAATAAAAATCCAATATGGCCGTAAGTGCTACGACTGTCATTTTGAAAACCTATTTCATATTTAAACTCCGGTTCCAATGTGCCCCTGGAGATGGATCAATAGTGTACTAGTACACGTAAACAATGCCTCTGTGTAGCTTAACTATAGAACACGCTAGGGAATAAATCTTACGTTGAAGCCCTTGGGTAATGAACTATTATAAAAAAAAACCACTGTTAATTACATGCCCTTAGGTCTAACCGTTTGGTATGTGCCCTACTTGACCGAACAAATGAATATAGAGATAAAATGACGAAATTTCCTATTAGGAACATAATTCATTTGAATGCGTTTTAGTAGTTTTTGTTGCTGACGTGATGGATGATGTAATCATCTTGTTGTTGATACAGGTTGTTTTCAATTCACGTCTCATCTTCGACACTCCAGGGGCCCTGGAATATGTCACAGTCACAGGTACTAGCCTTGTCTGGCAATACACCATTACATCAACCATCTTTGTGTTTAAGCATTTTGGTCATAGCAAAAGTGAAGGTATGCGGCTAGCTATTTGATTGGCGTCAGGTGAAAATATAGCTGTAACACACTATCATGTCACTGCGGCTGATACCTGTCCTTTGACGATTACAGAGGAACGACACCCGACTTCAAAGCCAGTCAATTTTACCGTTACGATACCGCGAGATTCTTTTGATTCATATCAAAGGATCCGGGGATGTTCACGTCTCAAAATAAAATGTTAAATATAAATAAAATCTCAGTTGACCGCTAAGACCAATACACCTCTTGTTTAAAACACAATTGTCTGTTTTGAATTGAATTACCAACAAAAAACATTTTCATTTAATTTTTACAAACGGACAGATGGACTCCACAAAGATGACGTAATGAATTATTTCGAGAGACTCAGCAGATTCATTGATACATCACATATGGAAATGTATTGAAGACGTTGACATATGATTTTGTTTACAGTCTTCGGCTCGATGGCTCGGAAATATCAACTTAAATATTCTTCCGGCTTTGAATGGTTCAGTTTCGTTTTCTTTATTACGTAAGCTTTCATACCGATCCATGACTTTGACTTGTTGTAAAATGTGTACTGCTTTGGTAATTAAAAATCTTATGATTTCTTGTTTGTCAAACTAGTTAAAAAAAGTATCCCGGAAACAAACATATAATTGCTCATTAAAGCGGTGGAAATGAAAAATAAAAGTTAAACTTAAGTAGGTTTTTTTAATGTTGTTTGTTTCTCCACCTGCGTACCCTGATCACTTGTCCAAAATAACTGATTGTGTGAAAATCTTTGTTGGGGCGGAAACACATACTAGAACAATAACAACAACTTTTAATTGTAACGAGGACCATATCGTAGGTCCCAAAACTGCCCCGTGTAGTCGCGAACGATGCAATGGAAAACATTTACAATACCACAATCCTTTTACATGCTAAGTTGAAGCAATATCAGAAAACAGAGACGGGCCGTTGGCATCTCCTTGGCGTCCACCCATAAATGTGTTAAAAAAATGATAGGCCAAGGCGGTCATATTTGCATCCTCTATACTCCATTGGTAACGCTCGTATTCGCATATGACATAAAGGAGACGGTCAGTTATTTAGGAATATCTTATCTTATAGTCTTACAGTGCTAAAGATTTAATTGAAAATAGTAGGGTGGTCGGTTGGTGTAGTGGATAGCGCACTTGCCTTTAACCAAGGCGGCCGGGGGTTCGATTCCCTGATCGGACGTGATCATGGGTCACGTGGTTTTTTTTCTGAGTACTCCGGTTTCCTCCAACAACCCCCCCCCCCCCCTTCCCGCGCTAACATCCGGGTGATTAATATAAGTAGAGATAACTTGTTTCATAATTGTTGTAAAATAAATAGGGTCTATAAAGTAGATATAATTGATGAGCAATGTGTTTGAACTCTATTATTCTTCCTTATCGCACAAATGATGAAAAAAAGACTAACTCTTTAAGTTTTTGAATCGGATCCAGCCCTTGTTTTAATTGTGACGTAATAAACATGAAATACTGATTCTTTGATGGTTTGATGACCTTAGAGACGAGTAATATCAAAACCCTCCGACCCCTCCCATCACCTTTTACCTTTACCCAGAGCCCGAGAAGTCAATCGCAAACAAAACCATAGAAAAGCATGTATACATACATAAATGTGATATATATGCATTAATTCATAAATTATTTTCTTTTCTAAATAAATTAACAAAAATGCTATTAATTTGTGGTATTAATTATTTTGCAAAATACACCCATAAACGTAAAGATTACAATTTCCCGTTTCCTAGTTCCGCATCGACGAACAACTCATTCCGTTCTGAAAGCCTGGTTAGCATACATTTTAGTATAATCGGTTTACTAGGCAAATAAATTACATCTTTTAAATATTGCATAGGCCTGTATAACAAAGGCATATGTAGGGACACAAACTAGATATACTTTAGAGTCGTTATGGACAACACTTCAACACTAAACACTAAATGTATGTGTCTGCAATAAGCTGACATAATGCTTTTCAAGAACAAATTGATCATAATAGAGGCCATACTGCCGACTACAAAATTTATGTTCTAGACAGAACGCTTCGTATAGTTGTAGTTGCGACTACTTGGATATATACCAAAACTGACAAAGTGAATATCGAACTTCTGAGTAGGCTACATGATGTCATCGTTACCCTCATCGCATATTAGCAGCATACATGTATATATATATATATATATATTGGAGACAGTGGGTGGATTAGCTTTCTCTGCGAGATCTCGTTCCAAACGTTATTTGAGCGTGACTCAGAAGACAGCCATATTGGAAAATAGATTCAATGCAGGGTGTGATATTCAATGAAGATTACTTAGACGATACGTGCTCTTCTTAGCCTACTGGCTTATAAATGCAACAATGAATTGGGGAACAGAGTTATGGGTAAGTTATTCTATTAGCAGTGGGATTTATGGATGCGTTAGGGAAATCATACAATGTTTACATTGAATGAGGAAGCGATCATCGTTTGTTCTTCGGGTTGTCAACTCGGACGTCTGGTGACGGGTTCTGCCGGACGACGGCTTAGGGACACTTTAGACACATACGCATCTTAAACATATCGATAAGAAAAAGTGATGTGGTTAGTTGAATAGAATAGCAAGACCATGAAAGAGGCCATATGGATTATATAGACCAGAGACCAATGTCATTTGCATGGTACCAACTGGCACGAAAAAACTTCCTGTCCGCCGACCGATTACAAACATCGTCCCCTTTAACTGTGTTGTTCATCAGAAAACACACTTTGCCACCAGCTGTGTTCCTCATCAACAAATTGCTATGTATCCACATCGCCCAACTAATATATAAACCTGACCGACACGGTGCTTGTCAGCATGTTATGGTTATGTTATATGAATGGAAATACGACCGGAACCTGTAGAGCTTGTCCTCAATTAATCATGATTCCATTCATGGAATGTTTTCATGGCAGTCTTTTAATTTGTATCACCCAGTATGTACTGTTATACAGGGTGTCTGTAAACCATGTATTCACTGACACTCTCACAACATGTTTTGATTGATGTTTCCTAGATGCAATATTTACATGTATCAGAGTCGTATAATACGTTATACGTCCATGCATGCTTTGTGTTTCTCTTTTTTTTGATTTGGGTAAATTGGGTCAGACTCTCTTTCTGCCATATTTATATTCCGTATTTAATAAATAAACCATTTGTTGCATTCACATACCAAAATATATCATTGTCTAATAAAATCAAGTCCTAAGTTTGTAAATTGTAAACATAGGTATAAGTAGTCCTGTAAAACTGACCATAATTGCAGGCTCAAAAGTTCACCTCGATTGAATAAAACGATGTGGCGTCCATCATATATTGAGTACGGACAGGACATCTAGTCAAGTGAGTGAGAAATGAATCAACTGAAATAAATAGGTATACATATTTTCTAAACAAACATTTAACTAAAACGCTCTCAATCGCTGGCGACAATCCACACATTTTAAAGAGCAGTTGATAGCTGACATAAACATGCGACTGATCAGAATTTTTGAGCCGCCAATTATGGTCAGTTTTAGCGGACTAAGGAACAAAATGTAGAACTGTAGTTCCATCAACACTTGGTAAAAAAATACCTGGTACTTTTCTATTCTGTTATTTGGTCTCTCAATTTTTCTAAACTCATGAATGAAATGCCCGACACTCTAACCTAATTTTAAAATTCCACATTTATTGTACCCTTCACTGGGTCATTGTCACCAAAACACAAAACAACGCTTGTCATTTTTGATCTTGTACATGTTTGTATGCTTGTCAACAACATATCATTGTGATATACCCTGTATTGATTACCATTTATTTTTCCTTATCAAGTGGACAACACTCTTTTCTGTCTTTAGTAATGTTCATATCCTAATGAAACTATGTACATGTACATTAGTTTACAAATATAGCTTGAATGAGTAGCATTTCAGATTTTTTTCCTGTTTATTTTGTGGAGTTATGGGGCTTCATTCAATTTTTACTGACAGGTTTGTCTGGAGAGAAACCTTATTCAAGTATAATTCTAATTCTGTAATAATTTATTGTCAATACAAAATTTATAGAGTTTAGACAGGAACAGGTACCAGTGGTCATTCATGGATATATATACAGGCCTTGTTTATGGCCGATTATGGGCCAGTTCATCTCTCCAATTCCAGCATAATTTTCACCTATTTCAGCTTTATTCCCCCTGTTTCTACCACTTTTAACTGAAATACAAATGTACTACCTGCCTTGGTTCTATTTTGTTTTCATTTCCCGTCAGTTTTACAACATTTTCAAAAAGTTGATGAGTCCCATTTTATTTTCTAAAAATAATACATGAAACACATTCTGGTAATGCTGGCTAGTCCCACAGCAAAAACATGAGTCCTGAACTCCAGTATCTGAATACCAAAATCACTGAGACACAAAATGTAAACTGAGTGTGGTGATGTACATTTAGTACTAGTTATCAATATAAAGGAGTAACTTCTTTTTTCTATATCACACTAGAAACAATTAATTTTATTTAGAATGACAATGGGGGTGGGGGGCACCAACCAACTTCATTCACCTGCCTGGCTGTATTTGGTTTCATATTGGAAACGGTACTGTGACCTATAATAATATTTGGTGTTTCATTGATCATAACCTAACAGTATATCAGATGTAGAACACTGTGACCTAGCTATAGATATTTTCAAATTCATCCACTTTAATTAGACTTTTTACTATATATATATATATTTGTTTCTTTTGAAATGTTATCAGAACCAGAATTTTCTTTTACTTTTCAACTGCATTTTAAGTAAATTTATAGGTTCACAGTATTTAGTCGTTAAAAAGAACATAATAAGGAGTGTACATTTGGGTATATATATGTAACCAGGCTGTGTCGTCCTAATAGCAGTCAGTGTTATCATTCCAAGTATTTTCTTATACAGTATAATACATTTCTTTGATTCAGTGCTGTATGTTGCTATATATGTATACATGTCACCGGAAATAATCTGGTTCACACATGAATTGCAACAGGAAAATAGTCATATTTCAACCAGGAAGTGAATGCTGTTGGAATGGAGTTGAAATATATTGTGCAGTACATGTGTATTAGTTGTAACTACGTCAAGTGAGAATTGGTAATCAGTATACAGTATATATATTCAGTAACAATTAAAAATTTAATAAAATTCTCATAATTATACATTTATAGGTCTAGGTGTAAAATCAAAGTGAAGACCAATTAATTATATGGTGAATCAATGTGAAAGTAACTTTCCTGAACTGAAGTTATAATTACCATCTTACAATATCAATATTGAAATGGATATTGTAGACATACATATTAGCAACATTTGTACATGACCTGTATAGATGTACATTTACTCATGATCACAGAGACTGAAAATTGGTGACCAGTACAGATAGCACAAAAGTGGATTTTAGATGGTAGATGGCTATATATGTAGCTAGTACAATATGTACACTGTCACCTTCATCAGACAAATGACCAGTGAAGCATATATGCACACAAAGGTTTAAAATGTGTACGAGTTGTCCACCAAATCGATGTTGATTAGGCTACACCGTAAGCGTATGTACAATAGTTGTTATATATGTCCCGAAATGACTTGATTCAGCTACACTTTGTTTAAAAATATGAGAGAACTGCTCCTATAATTAATATCCTTGAAACCAGCAACCGGCTATTACAACGGTTAAAATTCTTTGACGCCCACATATAACTGGTATCATATGTAATATCAAATCTTTTACGCTCACACATTATTTTGTATGTGTTACTGTTGCACACATTATAATGATTAGTTCCATTTTCTTGTGACAACATACATTCATTAATGGTACAAATCACTATCAAGCTTACACACATTTCTTTAATGTATTGCTAAACACTGGACCCTCTTTAAAAAATTGTTTGTTTGCAGTTTCACAACCAACTCGCTAAAATTGCACCTACTTAAACCATTTTTGGGAAATTTTGATAGAACAAGTTTTTCCTGTTAAAAATTGCCAAAACTTCGGGGTTTTATGAAGAAAATATGGGATTTCTATAAATAGAACCAATTATTTCCTGCTGAGAAATCACTGAAACTTTGGGGGTTATGAAGAAAATATGAAATTTCTAAAAAATGAAATTCCCTACCTACCTACTCGGGAAACTGTAAAAAAAAATTTTTTTTTATAAAGGATATATGGCTTTGTTAAAAACACACGATAAGTATCAATCTCCTGCAATCATGCACATTATTGATAAAATTATCATACAATTACTCATTTACCCCCCAACATTCTTGTCTGTTTTCATTTCATATTTTGTTGTATCATGTCTGAGTATCATTATGTGCAGATGTGCAATATAGACGATGGTAGCAGGCAGCAGCAGCAGCCTCATTAAGACTTCTCTTAGCTGTTGCTTTTTATCATGCTATTAAGATGTTGTTTTACAATGATTAAATATGACATACAACAGGTCAAAAATCACACACGCTTGTTACCAGATTCCTATCATTATGGTTATGTTTGTGTTACACAGGGCTAGAGTCAGGACAGGTGTTAGCCAAATCCCAATAGCTGAGATATCACAGATAGTCTGCTACAGTAGACAGGAATTCTGTACATGTTACAGGCCTAGTCGCTCTCAGACAAGTGTATGTTCTACAGCTGTTTTGATAAAAGTTCACCAGCTAAAACATGTTACTTGTACCAGTAGACAGCTGGTAGGGTTGATCCATTCCGTTTCACTTTCATGACATTTTGTCAAATCTGTTTCTTGAAATAATAAAGACAATTATCTTGTTTGAAGGTCTTACCCATACATGTGTAGTAAGTGTACCCGAGGTCTTACTTACTTGGTCTAAAACTCTTATGCTCCAGACAGTATGTCCTTAGGTCTTACCCTATATGTTAATATAAATATACAGTGTATATATGTCTTATAGTACTAGACTAGCTAGGGTATACATGTATGTCATTGCTCCAGATTTGATACCCCAGCTCTGGTGCCCTCTACCCTTGGTCTGCACACTCTATATAGGTTATCCCAAATACTGTAGATATTCTGCCAGCAGATATTGTACTGGAAGTGTGTATCTCTAGGTTATAGGTTCACTAAAGTCAAAAGTCACATATAATGTATGGTCTACATCAAAGGTCATAGATCTTATGATGATATAGTCGGGATATATATATATATATAGCGGACGATCTGAAAAATTTGTTTTTATTCTATATATATATATATATATATATATATACTGTAGCTCAAATGTCTCTTTCCTTCATGTAGATACAGGTCCTGTACTCCAATTACTGCAGCTGTACTTACTGGTACCCTAGCTATATATCTAATTCTGAAGTCTAAATATGTTCAGGTCCTGTAATGAACTCGAAGGTTGTTTGTCTTAAGTTCGATGATATTTAATTAAGGTCATATAATACCGGTATATGTAACATAGTAATAGGGTATATATCTGAACACTATTGTCGTAAAAGGGAAAAAGGGAAAATTTCCGCTGCACAAGCTTTTCCACTTTCAGCGTAATGAAATAGTTTCGGCCAGATGTTGTGTCATGATTCATTATGAGAAAGGCACATCGACGGGGACAGATTGTGTTGTATGGGTATAATTATATAAACAAAGTCTGGTAGGGAAACATACTTATCATAGCTACAGGCACCAAACTAATAGAGGTCACTAGATAGATTGTACATACTAATTTCAATTACCGTATTTGCCATAATAAGTGCCCTGGGCACTTGGCAATTTTGGACAAATAGTAGGATGAATGAAAAACCTTTCCGAATTCTAATACACATGTATACATAGCTATTATAGTCACTTCTTCTAAAGTTGTTCTGTAAATTATGTTGAAAGAATGGGACGCTTTGACCTCAAAAAGGGAACGATCACTCATAAAGGGTGTTTTTTCCCATGTACACGATGTAGATCAAAAACGGTACATATTACATAGTGTAGTAACATTATTACATGATGTAGTAACACTATTACATAGTGTAGTAACATTATCCATTTATCTCCGTCAACAAGCAGGATCAGTCTAATAACTCAGGTTTTTATTTCAATATTTGATGTCCCAATACCTCTGATGTAACACTGTATGACTGCACCACCACACATGTATTGATTTAAAACTTAGAGAACGGGATGTGTGTAACATGTTAACAGTACTGCTGTGTTTGTGTTTCCAGGATCAGTATGACATCGTAGCAGATCACACCCAGAAAGGCATAGACTTTTGCGAGCGGTACCAACACTTCCTTAAAGAGAGATGTTCTATAGAATTTGAATATGCCAATAAACTCAAGTAAGTTTTCCCAGGACCACAGTTTAACCATTTCACCCCTAGGTTACTTTAGTAGACTCTACCATACATCAATCTGAATGAGTCCATTATGGTCTACAGTGGTGAAAGGGTACGTTAAACCCATGTCAACCCATGCCATGTGTTCATCATTATAATCAACTTGTCCAACTTTTTCTTGGCCATTGATACCACTTGTTGAAATGTTTATTACTGACATTATGTTACGTTATATTGAAGTTAACAAAATTGATCACTACAGCGATATAATTGGTTATATGATTACAGTGCTTTGGTGATACAATTACTCTTAATATTCATGAAAAACTCAGAAAATTTCAAATTAAAAAAAACCCGTTTGTGACTTTTGTTATATTTGGTCAAATGAATTAATATTATATAAATGCTGTCCAATTTTAATCTCAGGTTTCTTAAAATTCATCACACTGCCACGATGCAATCTGTTCAAATAAATTTGAAACTCTTTAAAAGTATATTTATTTACATATACACATGTATTTCCTTTGTGTAGATAAAATAACTAACCAAGAAGGGGATATTTCATAAATTGTGTTTATAATTAAAAATTATGATTTTTGATTTATCTCAATACATTGAATTAAATGAATAATTAATTAATTCCATAATTACCGGTAAATAAATCTCATTGCAGAAAATTAGTCAAGAATTATCAACCAAGGAAGAAAGATGAAGATGAATATCAGTAAGTATTGCTTAGAAAATAAGGGTTTGAATGTTGGTACTGGTAGGGTGTATATATATACTATTTGAAATATAATACGGTGATTTTATGAATCACAGTGTCTTGTCATATTTTCTCCAAGTTGATTAACAGTAGATTTCAAGTATGATGCTTTATGAAGCTTTGCCAAGTGTTTCATTAAGATGCATGGTTAAAAATGAAACAACTGGTTACAAACCCCGGAGTTGTGAGACAGTACACACATCAGTTCTTTTGTGAGTAACGTGATAACAAATGTAGGTTGTAAAGTATGATGTCTGTTCATGTCAATAATGTAATGTAAGAAATTGACTTCTCATGGCCGGCCCAGTCAAACACAGGGGTGAAGTGGGTGTACACTTGCTCTTGTCAGATTTACAGGGCTACTAGATTTTATGTCGGCTGGTAAAAAAAAATATCAACATTTATTTTATTAAATGTACATGAATATACCTTTATATGGGCCAAACTAGTATAATAGTTACCTCTGGCTGTGGGCTAATACACTAAATGGTACTTAATTATATAACTGTTCATTGTCCAGTCATAATGCTGTCACAGTATAAGTGTTGTTACTGTCTGGTCAAATTAACTCATTCACCCCTAAAGACACATTTGAACTCTTCCAATTCATAGGTTGGAATAGTTCATTATGAAATCTCAGGGGTGAATGAGTTAACAAAACAATATTGTTAATGTTTGAAAGATGTGTTTTTTGGGTTATATTATGTATACATAAACTTTATTTATTTTACCTCAATTATGAAACAAGTCATTTTAACTTATATTAATCACGATTGTTGGCCCGGATGTTGACGCGCAGGGGGTCTTTATAAGTCTAATGTTCTATTGATACAATATTAAATATTACTGCCTGTCTGGGTCCCAACTTTTAGAATTATATAAGCGCTAACATTGTTCTATCTGAAACACAGGTACACGTGGGCGAACGGATTCCAGGATATGATCAAGGAACTGCATGATCTGGCCGGACAACATGAAGTGATCGCAGAAAACACACAAAGCTCCGTGATGAAGGAGTTGACGGTTCTCATCGCTGAACTCAAAGCCGACCGCAAAAAGGTACACAGTATGTTTGTGAAAAGAGTTTTACACGTTGTCAGACTTTACTGGTCATGATGAGTGCTTGGATCACTGAGTTGGTGTCAGTATTGTTGTCAAACTAATCAAGTTTAATTTTGAGTTAAATCCAAATCTTGATAGGTGTATTGCTGTCATCTCTTTCCTGTCGGCCGAGCTAAATTCATATGTATCAACTCAAGTGTTTCTATCATAGAAGATCTTAGAAGTGTTACAAAGTAGGTCAGTATTATCAAATGTGTGATACAGCCTCTGTGAACTGAAATGATTCAGCCATCTTAATGATTAAGGAAAATTGTAGTTAAAATGTGTAGAGATGAAAAAACCCCATAATCTTTGGGCGAGATATTAAGTTTTGTTTCTCTTCCTTTGTAGTATTTATTAGATGGATCTAAAGTACAGGAGCAGTTGAAAGTATCTAAGGCACAGCTAGAAAAGGTTTGATATTAACGTCCATCAATCGGTCTGATATCAGGGGGTTTGCCAGCTATTTTGGGAAAGGGCCCCTGAGCAGGATTTGGGAAAATATCATCGGCATTTGGCAAAAATTGGGAAATATCGTCAGTGTTCCCACATGTACAGGTTCGATAGTTTTCAATAGTTTTGAGAAATAAAACCTACAATGTGATTTGCAAAAATGTTTTTTTCTAGCTCTTTCCTACAATAAAATATATAGCCATAAATAAACAATTTCAAATTTCCGTTATTCATGTATTTTGAATGCTCTTTCATGGACGGTAATACTTTTAACGTTGCACAAATAAAAACTGGAAACTTGTTTAAACATGCTTTTTTATCTAATTTGGAAAATAAATACTGAAATTAAGAAAATACAGGGTAATTTTTCAATTGGGAATGGGTCCCCGTACCGGACCCTATAAACATCTGGCAAAACCCCTGGATATAAAAGTGTGTCAATACATATTTGAACTACATGTTTGATGGGGACCTCCCAAAAAACATTTTAGCACCAGACGCCCTATAAGTGGTGGGTTGCATATTTAAATCACACAGAGACAAAATGGAACCTCCCATGATTTAAATTAGGCCAGATAGCGATGGGTGCAGCATCCAAGAGATTGGCCCTTGGGAATGAATGCCCTGGTTTTACATCAAGGGAGGTCAACATGTTTAATTTGTATCTGTGAATGAGAAGGTCATTGTGTTTGTTAGCAATGATTTGGTTTGTTTTTGTTTTGCGTCCTATTAACAGCTTTGGTCATTTAAGGACGTGCCAGGTTTTGGTGGTGGAGGAAAGCCAGAGTTCCCGGAGAAAAACCACCAACCTACGGCCAGTACCTGGCGACTGCTCCATGTAGGCATCGAATATGTGACTCCATGGTGGAGGGCTAGTGATAACAGAATGTCAGACGCCTTAACCACTTGGCCACAGCGGCCCTCTTGTTATCAATGAATCTATTTACAGGCAATATAGGTCAACATATAGATATTTGATTAACCCTTTCACCCCTAGGATAAGTCTAGTATGGTCTACAGTACCAGTGGTGGAAGGGTTAATGAATGTCTGCGTGTTAGATATTAAAGACTGAACCGGAAATTATAGCTTTTTGTTCATTTTTGTCAACAGAGTAGAAGACAATATGAAAAGTCCTTTAAAGAATCAGAAAAAGCGCTGGAGGCATATCGCAAGGCCGACGCAGACATCAACCTATCTCGTGCCGAGGTGGAAAAGGTGGGTAGGGAGACCATATGGTGAAGATCAGATTAAAAATGTGCAACAAATCAACATTAATGATAATAAAGTCACAGTTATATTGTCATAATAATCCAACGACATGATCAAATAACAATGTAATGGTCTAACGACTAACAACGCACTATTGTTTCAGTCATATCAGGCATTATCTCTCTCGATATCTATAAGAAAGTCATTAATATGAGAAAACTGTTAATAAAGTAGAAAACTAAGTGAGACTTACTCTGATTTCAAAATTTGGTCATTGTGATACATAGTGTAATCGTAGATTGAGTCGGTATGTGTTTTACACAGTGACTATATATAGCTAGGTCACATGACAGAAGAAAGACAGTATTTTTTCAAATGTGAGATTTTGGTTTTTCAGCAAGCGAAATATAAACAGTATCTTGAGGCGGTACGTAAACTTTTGTCCTAAATAATGCAGGCAACTTGTCCCCATTTTAATCCAAATAATGCAGGCATTTCGGTCGACAAGACCAATATCTAGGGTGTTACACTGAGGAGTTGGGTGAAGGGGCCAGAAGGAGATTTTCGTCATGTACTTGTTTATTCATGTAAACCAGAGGTCCGCGATGAACCATTTAAAGTCACTTCTTATTCTTAAGTTAAGTTTTCAGTATCTATAATTGGAAGGATAGTGACAGTTTTGTCAAAAGTGTATACTACACAACATAAATGTCAATAGTTAGAGAATAAAATCATTTTTTGGTGCCCATAAAAAAGCTTTTCTTCAAAATGGCATTCTTTACCCAGCTGAAAAATCTCTATTTATAGTAGAGTGGGACACTATTGTTATGAGATGGCCTGTAAGGGTAGGACACTATAGTTATGAGTTGGCCTGTAAGGGTAGGACACTATGGTTATGAGTTGGCCTGTAAGGGAAGGACACTATAGTTATGAGTTGGCCTGTAAGCAGGGTAAGACACTATAGTTATGAGTTGGCCTGTAAGCAGGGTAGGACACTATAGTTATGAGTTGGCCTGTAAGCAGGGTAGGACACTATAGTTATGAGTTCGCCTGTATGGGTAGGACACTATAGTTATGAGTTGGCCTGTAAGGGTAGGACACTCTAGTTATGAGTTGGCCTGTAAGGGTAGGACACTATAGTTATGTGTTGGCCTGTAAGCAGGGTAGGACACTATTGTTATGAGATGGCCTGTAAGCAGGGTAGGACACTATTGTTATGAGTTGGCCTGTAAGCAGGGTAGGACACTATTGTTATGAGATGGCCTGTTAGCAGGGTAGGACACTATTGTTATGAGATGGCCTGTAAGCAGGGTAGGACACTATAGTTATGAGTTGGCCTGTAAGCAGGGTAGGACACTATAGTTATGAGTTGGCATGTAAGGGTAGGACACAATAGTTATGAGTTGGCCTGTAAGGGTAGGACACTATAGTTATGAGGTGGCCTGTAAGCAGGGTAGGACACAAGCTATAGTTATGAGTTGGCCTGTTAGCAGGGTAGGACACTATTGTTATGAGTTGGCCGGTAAGCAGGGTAGGACACTATAGTTAGGAGTTGGCCTGTAAGCTGGGTAAGACACTATAGTTATGAGTTTGCCTGTAAGGGTAGGACACTATATTTATGAGTTGGCCTGTAAGCAGGGGAGGACACTATAGTTATGAGTTGTCCTGTAAGCAGGGTAGGACACTATTGTTATGAGATGGCCTGTTAGCAGGGTAGGACACTATAGTTAGGAGTTGGCCTGTAAGGGTAGGACACTATAATTATGAGTTGGCCTGTAAGCAGGGAAGGACACTATAGTTATGAGTTGGGCTGTAAGCAGGGTAAGACACTATAGATATGAGTTGGCCTGTAAGCAGGGAAAGACACTATAGTTATGTGTTGGCCTGTAAGGGCAAGACACTATAGTTATGAGTTGGCCTGTAGGCAGGGTAGGACACTATAGCTATGAGTTGGCCTGTAAGGGTAGTACATTATAGTTATGAGATGGCCTGTAAGGGTAAGACACTGTAGTTATGAGTTGGCCTGTAAGGGGAGGACACTATAGTTATTAGTTGGCCTGTAAGCAGGGTAGGCCACTATAGTTATGAGTTGGCCTGGAAGGGTAGGACACTATAGTTATGTGTTGGCCTGTTAGGGTAAGACACTATAGTTATGAGGTGGCCTGTAAGCAGGGTAAGACACTATAGTTATGGGTTGGCCTGTAAGGGTAGGACACAATAGTTATGAGTTGGCCTGTAAGGGTAGGACACTATAATTATGAGTTGGCCTGTAAGCAGGGTAAGACACTATAGTTATGTGTTGGCCTGTAAGGGTAAGACACTATAGTTATGAGATGGCCTGTAAGGGTAAGACACTGTAGTTATGAGTTGGCCTGTAAGGGTAGGACACTATTGTTATGAGTTGGCCTGTAAGGGTAGGACAATATAGTTATGAGTTGGCCTGTAAGCAGGGGAGGACACTTTAGTTATGAGTTGGCCTGTAAGGGTAGGACACTATAGGTATGAGATGGCCTGTAAGGGTAAGACACTGTAGTTATGAGTTGTCCTGTAAGGGTAGGACACTATAGTTATGAGGTGGCCTGTAAGGGTAGGACACTTTAGTTATGAGTTGGCCTGTAGGCAGGGGAGGGCACTATAGCTATGAGTTGGCCTGTAAGGGTAGGACACTTTAGTAATGAGTTGGCCTGTAAGGGTAGGACACTATAGTTATGAGATGGCCTGTAAGTGTAGGACAGTATAGTTATCAGTTGGCCTGTAAGGGTAGGACACTATAGTTATGAGTTGGCCTGTAAGGGTAGGACACTTTAGTTATGAGTTGGCCTGTAGGCAGGGTAGGACACTATAGCTATGAGTTGGCCTGTAAGGGTAGGACACTATAGTTATGAGTTGGCCTGTAAGGGTAGGACACTATAGTTATGAGTTAGTCTGTAAGGGTAGGACACTATAGTTATGAGTTGGCCTGTAAGTGTAGGACACTGTAGTTATGAGTTGGCCTGTAAGGGTAGGACACTATAGTTATGAGTTGGCCTGTAAGGGTAGGACACTATACACAGCTTGACCCAGTGCCTCCAGTACATGTGTAAGGGTAGGACACTATACACAGCTTGACCCAGTGGTTCCACTATAGTTATGAGTTGGCCTGTAAGCAGGGTAGGACACTTTAGTTATGAGTTGGCCTGTAAGTGTAGGACACTATAGTTATGAGTTGGCCTGTAAGGGTAGGACACTATACACAGCTTGACCCAGGGGTTCCAGTACATGTGTAAGGGTAGGACACTATACACAGCTTGACCCAGTGCCTCCAGTACATGTGTAAGCTTTATAACCATTACTCAGCAGTATATCAGCAAGAGTACCATATACATTGCATATATATATATCTTCTTCTTCAGTTAGGTTTCTTACATTTTCTGAAACTGTTTGAACTATTTCGGTTTTAAAATTGGGAACATGTTAATTTCTGGTTTTAGGTCCCCTATAAATCTTGATACAGGCAGGTATTTTGTATCTTTATATTTTTTTTTTATATATATGAGAAAAGTATTTCAATTTTTATTTTTTTATTTTTTATTTATGGATGGTGTGTTTGTTCTCTAGCGTTGACCAACCTGCTTAAGAATTAGAAGCAGATATCAGATTTTAAATGATGTAAGTTTATTTGCAAACACTTAAGAAACTGATCACTTGAGAAATGTTAGTTGCCCTGATTGATATCAACAAAGGGGCATTGTTTGCTTCGTTATTTGGACAAAATCATCATAATCAGCGGGGTTTTTGTAGATTTTTTTTGTACAATGATGGATTTAACTGCATCAATATTTGTCAAAAAAGAAATTGCAGACACTTCAGAAAACAGAAAAAATATGGAATAGGGGTTGCTTTGGAAAAAACCCCCCCAATAAATCTGAGATTAAAAACAGGAAATAAAATCAGATGCAGCAGTGCCTTAGAAACGAAGAAAAAATGTGTGTTGCCTTACTGTTTCTCTAGTATGGCTACTGAAGCCAAGTGTCAGATTCATGTAGGCTTAGGGGTGCCAGGTTTTGAGGGCCATTACACAGATGTGAAGGGACAACAATTTAATGTACACACTTTCTTTAAAATGACATCACATTGATTTTGCTAATTTCAAATATGAAAGTTAGGATATATCAAAAATATATGCCAATCTAGTCTGAACAGCATCAGACAAATGTATTAAGCTTGGTCTGACAGTTACACTAGTCTGAACGGCACCAAACAAATGTATTTAGCTTGGTCTGACGGTTACACTAGTCTGAACAGCACCAAACAAATGTATTTAGCTTGGTCTGACGGTTACACTAGTGTGAACAGCACCAAAAAAATGTATTTAGCTTGGTCTGAAGGTTACACTAGTCTGAACAGCACCAAACAAATGTATTTAGCTTGGTCTGACGGTTACACTAGTCTGAACAGCACCAAACAAATGTATTAAGCTTGGTTTGATGGTTACACTCAAGCTTGTTCTATTAAGAAAGTAGAGACACTTAAAGGGCCATATCAATGGTCCAAAGTCTAATCTAGTAGGTATGCCTGTAACAAGTTCGGCTTTGACAAATATTTTTGTTAGACGTTTCAGAAACTTGCTATGGAACGGAGATGCTTTTGTAATTACCCAAGAGTATTTTTAGACACTTTCACGATCAGGACATTTCATGTTGCTGGGGCTTATAATGGTGAAATCTACTAAATATTATCTAGTCTCTTTTTTACTTCATTTCGTATCTATATTTACTGCCTTGAGCTATAACGTGTGATCTTTTGTCTGTATATCGTAAAACGCTCCGTACACGGAAGTCTCTATTTCTCTGTATAAAGAAAAACGGATGCTAAGTGTTCACCACGTTTACTTTTACTGTTCATTGTAGTAGGAATGCTGTATATAATATACAAAAGTATACAATATCTTATAAATAAAAAAATCTAATTTCTGATTAATTGTTGAGTTAACCCTTTTAACCCTATGTAACTTGAGTTGACTATACCATGAATTCGTCTGGAAGAGTCCATTATGGTCTACGGTGGTGAAAAGGTCTATAATGATAAGGAATTGATTTGTTGTGCATTGATTAATGTTGGTTAGTGGTGTAGCTATTTTAAGCATTTTTCATTGATCAGTGATGTAATTATAAGTATATTGGTAATATTATAAATTTCTTGTAACTCAATTATAATTAGATCATGTCAAACAATCAAAAAATCAAATGTAAACATTGATATCAGAATTTCAATTTCAATTTTTTCCCCAAATCATTGGCAATGTAAGATTTCAATATTGATTTATAAACGGAACAAAATTTAGGATTGAGCGCAAAATCCATGCTTGAGCCTGAGAACGGTTTCATGAATACGGGTCCGGGCCCAGATCTATTTTGTGAGAGCCTATCTTAATCAGACCTGGTCTGGCTTCCTCCATTTCTATGTAAATTAAAGCTATAATTCATCGGAAAACATTTCTATTCTGAATAAGAATACTGGTCCTGTTGGTGATCAGACAGGTCAGGCCACATATTGATTGTAAATAATACTGTCATTTTACATGTATGTGCTGAAGAGCAATTTGGTACAGTGTAGACTTTGTGATTTTGAGATTGCTAAATCTGTAGTGTTATTTGATTGTCATGTTGTATTTGCAAAATCACTTTATAATATGTGTAAACAATAAAAATGATACTGCAAGGAAAATAATATTTCAATTAATTTTAGACTGAGAAATGGTTACTAGACTAATTAATCAATAAGATGTATTGTAGTTGTTTACAGTAATACATGTTTACAACAAACACCTGTTGTTTATCACTACAACACTTGTTGAGCTCACTAACTCTCATGTTTGTGTTTGTGGTCCTTGACGACGAATGGTTTTTCAATGGTTATTTCGTGTCTTATGTTATATATTTTGGCTTTAAAGTAGGAAGTGATTTCAAAGCTGCCCTCAGTTTTGTTGTAAGCATGTTTTGCAATATATAACCACAAACAGGTAAAAACCAACAAGATCACATCATACATAATTACTTAGGATGAAAATGTTTGAGGCCAAGGTCAACCTTGCTATTTAAAGAGTTTCTATTCCTGTGATGAAATGTAATCAAAACAACTGATTTCTAATGGAAGCACTTGTGTGTACATTTGTAGATTTGTGTAGAAAATCAAAATTAATAATATATAATTTTGGCATTTTTATTAAAAAATGTTTTCTCAATTACAGCATAGAAACCAAATGATGTTGAAAGGTCAACAGTGTGAGAAGTGTAAAAACGATTACGCCTCCCAGCTCCAGCAGACCAACACACAACAACGGGACCACTTCAGCGCACTCATGCCACAAGTCTTTCAGGTAAGTATATTAACTCATTCACCCCTGTAGACTATAATGGACTCTCCCAGTTCAATGGGTTTAATAAAGCTACATAGGGGTGAAAGGGTTATTAACTCATTCACCACTGTAGACTATAATAGACTCTCCCAGTTCAATGGGTGTAATAAAGTTACATAGGGGTGAAAGGGTTATTAACTCATTCCCCCCTGTAGACTATAATGGACTCTCCCAGTTCAATGGGTTTAATAAAGTTACATAGGGGTTAAAGGGTTATTAACTCATTCACCCCTGTAGTCTATAATAGACTCTCCCAGTTCAATGCATGGTAGGGTCTAATAAAGTTACATAGGGGTGAAAGGGTTATTAACTCATCCACCCCTGTAGACTATAATAGACTCTCCCAGTTCAATGGGTTTAATGAAGTTACATAGGGGTGAAAGGGTTATTAACTCATCCACCCCTGTAGACTATAATAGACTCTCCCAGTTCAATGGGTGTAATAAAGTTACATAGGGGTGAAAGGGTTACTAACTCATTCACCCCTGTAGACTATAATAGACTCTCCCAGTTCAATGCATGGTAGGGTTTAATAAAGTTACATAGGGGTGAAAGGGTAATTAACTCATTCACCCCTGAAATTTCATAGTGAACTATTCCAACCTTTGAATTAGAAGAGTTCAAATGAGTCTTCAGGGGTGAATGAGTTAAGTTAGTGGTTGACAATTTAAGTTCTTCCTTCAGAGTACCACAGGATTTTATATGTCTGGGTATCAACCCTATGAGCCATCTATATATATGTAAACAGTATTATCAGTTAGTTTAACACCTTGGAGTATATATATATATATTACCATTTATGATTTTATGGTCACTATACCTAGAGGCTAGGTATTTATCTAGTATACATTTAAATTTATAAATTAAGAATTCCCCACTAATAAACCATATAGCAAATTTATTGCACAGAGGACCTTTTTTATCAGTTCAAATACCAATCATAATGTTCATGAAGTATTAAGATATTAAAACAGAATTAATTATTTATCAAATGTCAACAACAACAATTTATTAAACAACTTTTTGTCTGGTTATTGCTCTTTTGAGTCTTTTGTGCATGGATTCTCTCTTAGTTGTTTCCGTGAAACGAGCTATTATTGTCAACAAAAATTATCGTTGACGCTTTCAAATATAGTCCCCCATGTCATGCATAGCGGGAGGTTACTCCAAAATATTCATTGAACAGATTTTTATGTGACTCCTTATTTAATAATACAACTTTGAACATACAACGACAGTGAAAATCGACGGGAAGCGACCATTTTTCCCCCTAAGAAATTTTACTGGGGGTCACCACGTTACCTGTTGTTTTTCAATTAAGGAAATTTGACAATTTTGTCTGAGGTGTGATAAAAATGGTTGGTGTACACCCAGTAATAAGATGTAACTAATATTGTTTTACTGCTTCATTTCAGCAACTGCAAACAATGGATGAGAACCGGATCAATCGACAGCAAGAGTATTTTAAACAATGTTCAAGCATAGAGCGCAACGTGGTACCGATCATCAATACGTGTATAGACGGCATGGAGAAAGCTGCGTCCTCTATCGATGCTAAACAAGTTAGATTTATGCTTCCTTTCTCTCATTTCCTTTTGAGTTTTAAAATGTATCGCCTATTTATAGCAATAAAAATCACAGTAAATAATGTGCCATTAATCGTCTTTTAGGAAATTGGCCATCATATTAAAAAAAACCAACCAAATGCTTTGTTTTGCATGTGATGAAAAAAGTTTCTGGCATGTTGTAGCTATATAGAAAAGCTTACGAGTGGCGTATCCGAATAATTTGATGTATGACCTAAAGTCTCCGTCAGATGTGAGACTGACCTAAAATCTTAGTCGGCCCTATATAACTTACAGACAAGGTGGCTCAGTACCTAGACTTGTAGGCAGTAACATGGTCATTGGCCATTGAAAGATGTCGCACCATACTGTTACACTCTGCGATCAAAGTTAAAACATAAACTTTTGTGACTTGCAGGATTCCAAACTTGTGGTGGACAAATACAAGTCCGGATTCCCCATGCCTGATGACATTCCGTTTGACGATCTGAGCAGTAGCCCGTTCCCAGAGTCCAACAGTAACCACCACAATACGCCTGTCGGCACCACCAAGTCCAACACCATCTCTGGGCGCACCTCCAAAAACAAAACGAAACGCGGTGGCATCATGAACCTTTTTAGCGGTTCAAAGGTATTCACATTTACAAATTGATTATTTGTGTTGCCATGGTTTCTTTCTATTTTGTATCAAATATTTTATTTTCCATATCGTCTTGTTTCTCAAAAACCATTAAATATTAAAATTTAATCGGAAAAACTTTGATGATCAAAACTTGACAGATTTCTATGTATTAGAACTGAAAACAAATGAAACTGTTTCTCTTATTCCTGAATTCTACATCTGGCCTTGTGTAACTTTTCTTGGGTGATGTTAATTAGAACTAGAGAGTGAGTACCTTGGCTAACCATGCCTATATAGTTAGTACCCGAGGCTTTCTTAGTTAAATTAGTTTAGACTTTAGTTCAGCAAGCAGATTGTGTGTCACGCTTAATGATAATGACTCGACAGCAATTTCTTTGCTACTTCTTCACATAATACTTCTAATGAAGCTGGATTTGTTTTATCAGAGAGTTGTTTTTTTCATCTTCATTTACCACAAATTCAGAATTAAACTGATCTAAATCTGGAACCACATGAGTTTGGACACTTAAGTTTCTTAAATAATATTCACAATAATGAATTGTTGAGACAACTGAAGTATTGACGTTGGTTAAATAATGATTCCTGATTCAAGTATCTCTGACTGGGTAACAGAGTTGTCCATGTCTCTGACTGGGTAACAGAGTTGTCCATGTCTCTGACTGGGTAACAGAGTTGTCCATGTCTCTGACTGGGTAACAGAGTTGTCCATGTCTCTGACTGGGTAACAGAGTTGTCCATGTCTCTGACTGGGTAACAGAGTTGTCCATGTCTCTGACTGGGTAACAGAGTTGTCCATGTCTCTGACTGGGTAACAGAGTTGTCCATGTCTCTGACTGGGTAACAGAGTTGTCCATGTCTCTGACTGGGTAACAGAGTTGTCCATGTCTCTGACTGGGTAACAGAGTTGTCCATGTCTCTGACTGGGTAACAGAGTTGTCCATGTCTCTGACTGGGTAACAGAGTTGTCCATGTCTCTGACTGGGTAACAGAGTTGTCCATGTCTCTGACTGGGTAACAGAGTTGTCCATGTCTCTGACTGGGTAACAGAGTTGTCCATGTCTCTGACTGGGTAACAGAGTTGTCCATGTCTCTGACTGGGTAACAGAGTTGTCCATGTCTCTGACTGGGTAACAGAGTTGTCCATGTCTCTGACTGGGTAACAGAGTTGTCCATGTCTCTGACTGGGTAACAGAGTTGTCCATGTCTCTGACTGGGTAACAGAGTTGTCCATGTCTCTGACTGGGTAACAGAGTTGTCCATGTCTCTGACTGGGTAACAGAGTTGTCCATGTCTCTGACTGGGTAACAGAGTTGTCCATGTCTCTGACTGGGTAACAGAGTTGTCCATGTCTCTGACTGGGTAACAGAGTTGTCCATGTCTCTGACTGGGTAACAGAGTTGTCCATGTCTCTGACTGGGTAACAGAGTTGTCCATGTCTCTGACTGGGTAACAGAGTTGTCCATGTCTCTGACTGGGTAACAGAGTTGTCCATGTCTCTGACTGGGTAACAGAGTTGTCCATGTCTCTGACTGGGTAACAGAGTTGTCCATGTCTCTGACTGGGTAACAGAGTTGTCCATGTCTCTGACTGGGTAACAGAGTTGTCCATGTCTCTGACTGGGTAACAGAGTTGTCCATGTCTCTGACTGGGTAACAGAGTTGTCCATGTCTCTGACTGGGTAACAGAGTTGTCCATGTCTCTGACTGGGTAACAGAGTTGTCCATGTCTCTGACTGGGTAACAGAGTTGTCCATGTCTCTGACTGGGTAACAGAGTTGTCCATGTCTCTGACTGGGTAACAGAGTTGTCCATGTCTCTGACTGGGTAACAGAGTTGTCCATGTCTCTGACTGGGTAACAGGGTTGTCCATGTCTCTGACTGGGTAACAGGGTTGTCTATGTCTCTGACTGGGTAACAGGGTTGTCTATGTCTCTGACTGGGTAGCAGGGTTGTCCATATCTCTGACTGGGTAACAGAGTTGTCCATGTCTCTGACTGGGTAACAGGGTTGTCCATGTCTCTGACTGGGTGACAGGGTTGTCCATGTCTCTGACTGGGTATAGCAGGGTAACATTGTATGCTCCATAGATACATAGATAAATTCTAAGACATTAGCATCATGAAAGAGTCACAGTAAAGTCACATTAATTAGTTTTCGAGATCTAGACTAGCGGTTTCAACTCATTCACCCCTAAAGACACATTTGAACTCTTCCAATTCAAAGGTTGGAGTAGCTCATTATGAAATTTCAGGGGTGAATGAGTTAATGCATAGAATGCACACATATTAAGCTGAAAACTGCACCAGAAAATCTTTGCATAAATATTCATCATGCAAAATATCTTGAGATGCGAAAGCTGGGAGAGGTGCAAATGAAACATTATGACATTGTGTAACAATAATTGGAAATGACAAAGAAAACAAAGTGGAATAATCAATACATATAAATATAAAATATTTTTTATAATAATGAACAGATAGATGTAAGGATGAAAAAATAGATAAAAATCAAATTCTTTGACATAGCAACATATTTCGGTAAGATCAAGCCTAAAATTGTCAAAGAAAAATACTTTTATGTACATGTACATGTACTACCAGACAGTCCCGAACACCAATGAATGGTGATGTGTATTGAGAATCACTCAAGTGGTCAGGGTAAATGATTCTGTTCATGTATGCTCATCATCAAAGTTTCAGTCTCCTGGTTGGTTGTTGTCAGTACGTAAGCCGATTCCCTGGATGTTGTTGTGTTACATTAATGTCGGTAATTTAAGCCTCAGTCATTTCTTATGTTGTCACTTATTTCATTATTACATCTTGTAAAATATTTCTTTATGTGCTTGAAATATTTATAAAAGTATGAACTTATGTTTTTTTTTATAGTTTTGCATTGATAGAAGACTACGATTGCTGATATTTTTATGACTAATAATAAGTGAAATATGACCATGTTGAAATTTATCAAATATGCAATTATGTACGATGTTTTTGAATATCTAGTCTTAGGACCATATACCAGTAGTAGTTTGTTTGATAATCTTATGTTTTGCACTTAACTGGACATTTCACGTTTACAAGTGATTTCCTGGAGACTAAAAATGACAAAAATGTGAATAGCAGAAAATTAAACATCATCCCTGAAAATGCCAAAAATGCGAAAAGCAGAAAAGCTAGACGCAACTTCATCACAGGAAATGGGGAAAAAATAACCAAAAAGTTTGATCAGCTGGGACTGAATTTAGCTGTGTAGTTTTTGTGGTGCTTTTTTTTTTGCAGACCTCTGTAACAAAAGTAAGTGATCACCTAGTGGTGGTAGATATGGGGAGTCTGTGGAGACTAACACCCTAGCTAGACCCCTACCCATTGTACACTGCAACCTCACTAGCCCCAGCAGCTTTCTGCTAAACAAATAATAGGAAAATCTATAAACAAGTACTTGTATCATTATTTGAAAATCTGTCTTGAGGATATATATGCTACCTTACCTCACGTCCTTAGCCGAAGAGATCTGCACGATAAATGTTGAAAAGTGTTTAGATATGTATTAAGGTAATATGAAAATTATTATTATAATACACTGATAACAAAACTGTAATTGTGGAGATGATTGTATCACACAGGTGTAATGAAGGAGGTATGTTAGGTAGCATGTAGCCTTAACCCTACTGTGGTAGAAGACTGTGTTCTCTATTCTCCATTTTGCAGATAAGCTGAATAGCAAGGTTACAGTGTTGAGAGAGTAGGTTTCATTTTACAGGTTTTAATTATCATTAAAACTGGATTGATGATACATCAAATGAAATGTATACAGCCTTGGAATTTTTTTTATGGAAAGGAACCTATTCTTAAAAAATTGGTCAAAGTGATCTTTAAAAACTATTGAGAAAAAATACATTGAAAAGTTTACCTTACCCCTTCACTGTAATTTTCCCTATCCTTCATTTTGTACCACATCTGGGATTTTATTTCAACCCTTAGAGTAGTAAGTTTTTGGTATGGTGTGACGAGGTAGTTGGATCAGGAATCCTAAAATATCAGAACGTACGAGTCAAAGACATCCTAGCAAAGTCCCAGCTAGGCCTCCGGATGTGCCACATTTGTCCCAGCCAGACTTCAGAATGTTTCCACCTTGGTCCCAGCCAGACCCCAGGATATCACATTGTGAATTGGTCCCCGCTAGACTACAGATCACAGTCCCAGATGTATCCCTGAATGTGCCACCATGGTCTCCATCGAACACAAGGACAAGCCACCATGGTCCCAGCCTGGTACCAGTAGATGCCACCTCGGTCCCAGCCAGACCCCAGGATGTGTCACCTTGGTCCCAGCCAGACCCCAGGATGTGTCACCTTGGTCCCAGCCAGACCCCAGGATGTGTTACCTTGGTCCCAGCCAGACCCAAGGAAGTTACACTTTGGTCCCAGCCAGACCCCAGGATGTGTTGCCTTGGTTCAAGTCAGGTCCCAAGATTTTCCAGCATTGTCCTAAATGGACATCCAAAACCAGCCATCATGGTCGCATTCAGAAACCAAGAGGTTCCACCATAGTCCACCATTGTCCACCATAGTCCCAGTGAAACCTCAGGGTGTTACTACAATTCCAACCAAGTTTGACTTTAATAGTGATTACATGATATTATTAATTAAGTATATATATAGATTGACATTTATAGTGATAACATGATATTAAGTATATATATAGATTGATGTTAATAGTGATAACATGATATTAAGTATATATATAGATTGATGTTAATAGTGATAACATGATATTAAGTATATA